ATTGGGAAGGGAGGTTGTTGGGAAGGGGGATGATTGGGACGAGGATTCATTGGGTAGGGGGATCATTGGGAAGGGGGTTGTTGGGAAGGGAGGTTGTTGGGAAAGGGGATCATTGGGAAGGGGTTTCATTGGGAAGGGGATCATTGGGAAGAGGTTTCATCACGGAGCCAGTTTATTGGGAAGCGGGAAGAGGCCGGCGGCTGCCTGGCCCTCAGGCCTAGATCCGGCCGGGAAAGGTGCCGTCCGCCCGCTGCTCATCCCAGCGCTGGATCTACAGGGGGAACAGGCGGACGGGGCCTCGCTCAGCGCTCCGAGAAACACCCCCTCCCTACATCCAAACCCCCAAACCCACCCAAAACATGGGGCAGATGGACTTGAACACCCGGAAGTACCACAGGCAGGGGGTGACGTCGCGGTGTTTGGCCGTCAGCGCCTTCATGCAGCGGTGGTAGTCTGAGGAGATGGCGCTGGGGGGGGTCAGGCCCCGCTGTCCCCAAAGGGACCGGCACCCTCGGGGACTCCGCCACTCACCCAGGTAGTTCTGGAAGCAGTTGCGGGTCTGGTTGGCATTGGGGAAGCGGGGGTCGAACGGGGCCGTCACGTAGTGGCTCAGGGTGCCCTTGGGGCCCTTCTTGTCCCCCATGTCCGCAGAGCACGACATGGCTGCGGGGAAGGAGGCGGCTCAGARCCCGGCCCTGCCCGCCCGGGAAGCGCCAGCCGCCAAAGGAGGCGCCTGCCCTATGGAACACCCCTCGTTTTCACACAGAAATGTCATTTCGGGTCCCCTCCGAGCCTCCCCGGCGGCCCCAAGGACCCCTCCAAAGCGCGGGCGCGACCCTCACACGCTCCCGCCGCCATGGCCACCACCACCCCTCAGAGCCGGGCCCGCCCACGACGCGGCGGGCGGCGCTCCTATTGGTCGGCGCTCCGGCGGCGGGAAGCGCTCGGCCAATGGGAGCGCGAGGAGCCCTCGCGCCCCCCCCGACCGCATCGTGGCRGTTGGGAGCAACGGGCGTGGGCGGGGCCGCGTTTGGGCGGGAGGGGGAGGTCCAGCCAATCAGGACGCGGCTGAGGGCGGGCCCCGCCCCCCCAGGGCTGCCTCCACTCGTAGCGCCCCGAGACCCAAAATATCCCTTTATAGCCCCCAAATATCCCCTCAGAGCCCCTAAATACCCCCAGGAAAACCCCAATATCCCCTTAGACCCCCCAAATCCCCCCAGGAACCTCAAAATATCCCTTTATAGCCCCCAAATGTCCCCCTAGAGCCCCCAAATCTCCCGAGACCCCCAAATATCACCGTAGAGCCCTAAAATCCCCCTGGGGACCCCAAAATATCCCTTCTGAGACCCCAGAATCCACTTAGAGCCCCCCTAAATTGCCCTCAGGGACATTAATATCCCCTGAGAGTCCCCAATATCACCCAGAGACCCCTAATCCCCCTCAGAGACCCCCCACATCGTCTCAAGGGGCGCAGTATCTCCTGAGAGTCCCCTATATCCCCCCCGAGATCCCGAATTCCCCTCAGAGACCCCCAAATCCCCCTCGGAGACCCCCAGTATCCTCTCAGGGCCCCCAAATTCCCTTCAGAGACCCCCCCAATATCCTCCCAGGGACCGCGATACCCCCTTAGAGTCCCC